ACAAAGATCAGAACGGTCCAGGCTGTGGTCACCTCTTTATTCTTTATCAATGTAAAAGCTGGACAATAGCCAAGCGAGATAGGAAAAATATAGATGCCTCTGAACTTCAGTAGTAAACGACCAAATCAGGCCTTGACTCCAACTCAAAGCCTTGATAACCAAACTGAAGCTCTTTAGACATGTTTTGAGAAGAACTGATTCACTGGAAAAGACCATTATGGTTGAAAGAGTTGAAGGTAAAAGAGAAAGAGGATGACCAGCAACAAGATGGATTCAATCAGAGGAATCATAAACCAGCCATTCAGCAGACATTCTGAAGAAACACTATCCATATGGTCGCTAAGAGTCGGAATCAACTTGACGGCAACGGGTAATTAATTATAACCCCTACATTGGGCTCACAAGTGGCACAACTGTCTTTTGCTAAGTTTATATGACGGTAGATGGCAGACCGGATATTTCACTGTTTTCAGTGAAGCAGCGATGGAAAATTCCACCACCAGCAGCAATGGCAGTGTACCATTTTCCCAACTTTTACCATCAACCGCAGAGGTGGAATAAACTGGATGCTGACTTTTTTGGGAGTCATGAATGCCCATGTCTTTTTCTTGAAGTCCAGGTGTATCTGGTACTATAAAACAAAGAATTAAAAGCATCCTCGTTCCTTTTCCTCCACCATAAATAATCAACACTGCTAAAGCTCTCCTCTGATTGTCATCCAGTACCAATGGTGATGCTCTCACCAGGGTAACGTTTCCATGGCTGCATGCTGCCATCAGTCAAGTACTGCTATGAGGCACAGGACAACTTTTCTTTTAGCAACATGTAAGCATAAGTGTGAGCTCTATCTTCGGGAGCAAGTTCGATCCCTAGTAATGCCCAGCCATAACTGCCCTTGCTCTTTCTGGGTGGCTAAGATGGTCCTCTTTTCCTCCCTGATGCCATCTTTGGTCGCATACCGCTATGAATCACAGAATGACATCTCATCTGGGGATTGTGAATTCAATCAGCCATCTGCAGCTGGGAATCCAAGAGATAATAATTGTCCTCACTCTCTCTGGGTTTGCAGGACAGTCCTTCCTCTCCCCCCACCACTCAGCTTAATACTAGCCAATGTGGACATTATTAGCTGACAAAAGAGAATAGGTAGCTAGCACTCTCCTCCAAGCGTGTTAAGTCTAGTGACATAGCGAAACAGGAGTAAATAAGGATCTGGGATGTGGTGTCGCTCCAAGTGTCCCAAAGGAAGCACATGCTAGCCTTTATCCTCCCAGCTTGGTAGTATCATATGATAAGGGTAGACCCAGTAGGTGTAACAGGGAGTGACTAAACTGAAGACAAAACTGGGCAAAAAGCAAGTGACCAGCCATGCTTTTCCCACAGGACTGTTCCCAGTCTATAAAAACAAAAGCGTGTCTAAACCTTTGACTGATTTTCATTACAATTTACAGTGTTATGTCTTGTGTCGCGAGACGTGCAGTGGTTGGAAGCATCAAGATGTCAAAGTGCACGCTTCTTCTAGTCTACATAACATCTCCATCTTCCTTGCCTTTCTTATCCTTCAACAATGGTTCTTTGGTTTAGTGATTGACTCAGACTTTCTTTATGCTAAGACATAAAGTGACTTTGGCAGTTGACTTTAGCACGCAACTACAGACGTCTTCCCGTACAGAGGACAATCTATTGGATCAGTCAAAAACAAAGTTAATAAAGAGTTTTTTTCTTTCAAAAACTTGAATGATCTTTGTCATTTTTTGTTTTGTTTTTGACTGATCCATGCCCATTCGAGATGAGCTAACCTAAAGATCAGAAGCTTCACACCCTGAGGTGATTTCTTGGGAGTTTAGCAGATTGCTTTGTAACCACTCTGTCAGACAGATGAAGGCAAGATCTGGCGCTGCTGGAGCTATTTCATGAGTTGAGACATTTCTCAAGTACTCAAATTTACTCCAGTGTATTCTCAAGTACACCAAACTCAGATTTACTCAACTCTTAAGGACATTTGAGAAACATTCTTTTACTCCTAGAACTGACTCAGAGGGTTTGTTGTCCCATGATACAAAAAGAAAGGAGATTCGAGGCCTTAATTTCCACGGGTGTTCGTACACAAATGTGATAGCCAACAATATTGCATCTATATAACTGTGAGACCTAAGTTGGTTTTCTTGGATGAAAAACTGTAAAGAGAAAAGCTTCTATACTTCCGAGACGTGTTTTAGAAATGCTAATTATGGGGAGCAGTTAAACGAAGCAGCAACCTAAAGTCTTTTTTTCTAAGTTTCTTCCATTTAAGAAAATGCAGTCATATCTACAGGAAATGTATGCTACAGTATACCCGAGTGGGCTCATCATAAGACTTAATTACCACGGTACTACAGTGAGTACATTTGTCCTACATCCTTAAAGCACTGTGATAAAGCTGTTAAACTTGCCTTACTGTTCAGACCTAAACAGCCATGGACAACCAAATGGCAAAGAAAGGTTGAGCAAAGAAACAAATAGGCATCATGTGATGGGATGATGATAAAAGAAACACTGTTCTTCAAAATTCTACCATTGCAAACAATGAACACTAATAGGGGCATGTTTCATTCAGTGTTTGTAAGAAATATTTTTAAATATTATTCATCCAAGGCCTTAGCATAAGTTCCAATAAATACCATAAACAGATACATAGATGTACTTTGTTGACCTCAGGGGGAAAATGTGTGATTTCTCCTCCAGTAAAAATCATTAAGTGGTTCTGGTTTCTGTTAAACATCTCTAATTTTTCAGATTTTTCATAAAATTATGCAAAAGGTTATATTTTTATACATGTAATTTGATGAAAGTTTCTGTTATTTTAATCATGGTGGTGTTTTTTTTATTCAAACTAATCAGCTCGGGCTGTATTGCAGTGATATAGTTAAATAGGTGGTGCGGCATATGGCATCCTGGTGGCACAACTGTCTACAGATTGCCACTAGTTTGAATCCTGGCAATGCTGCAACTGAAAAAGTGTGAAAGTCATTAATTACCGGCACAGTTTCTTTAATATTTTCACCAACACTGTTGTATTAGTTGGGTTCTAGCGTGTGTTTACAGGAGACTGAACCAGAAGGTCTTTACAAGCCCTGGGACATTGCTTCCCACAAAGCTTCGGTTCGTCCCACGTTCAATTCCCGTAAGAGAAGCGTCAGTCGTCACAGCAGAAGGCTTTTGTCTGATCGTCCAGGGGCCTTGATTAATTACAGCTTGAGTAGTGAGGAGAGGGGTACGAAGCAATCTGCTAAAACCTCGGACAGGGCATACTCCGTGGAGGCATCAAGGGCCATTAATAAATCAAGCCATTTAAGTAAAAGATTGGCCCACTGCCAGGGCCACAGTGCCAGCTACCAGCTCCCACGAGCGTGGAAGGTGGAAATGGCTCTTGTGACTCTCGTTTGATTAAGTCATCCCTAAGGTGCACGTGAAGAGTCCGGAGGTTTAGAGGTCAGACGTCGGCCGTGGCCAGGCCAGCATCCCACTGCTGCTCTAGGGTTAGCACTCACTGTTGATTATGTGTCTTTAAATCCCAGTGACCCTCCCAGCAGTATCGACAACACGCCATTCTCTAATGTCAGATTTGAGCCGGGCAATTAAAAGGAGAAAGCCTTCTGCCCTGACTCGCATCTTAACAACTGCATAAAGGAGAGCTGAATTTGAAAACATACAGTATGTTCGACTTACCAGAGGGGAAGGAGGAAATGGAACCACTGGATTTAAGTGATGTAAGATAAGCTTATCTTGGAAACAGGACCCAGACTGTTACCCTGATCTCAAAGAATAGCACATGGTTAATGTCCTCGGTTTGTACAGGGCAGAGGTTCCCGATCCTCAAGCACTGCATATCTTGGAGTTTTCACTGTCTAGCACACTTGATTGAACTAATCAGCTAATTAACAAGTTGAGGTTCAGTGGTTGCACTGGAGCAGGGACAACACTATAATGTGTGTACTCAGGGTGAAGAACCAGTGCAACAGGGTATTCAACACCTGAATAATCCTGAAATCCTCAACTTCCAGCACCTGCCCTTTATACCCAAGTCTTCTTGCAGCTCATGTACCTGGCAGCATTTTCTCCAACCCTGACTGTCTCTGACCCAAGACCCCAATCAATCAGCAAAGCCGAAGATGATCACAGGCATCTTGATTCAAGTTAGGGGTCGGCGACTAGGCTAATGCGTTCACAGAACCTCCTCTGCAAATTGCCCGTTTAGTACATTGGTTCTGCGCGATGCACACTCTAGGACTGGGACAAGCTTTTCTGCAATAAATCTGCTCTCCAACCGCTCCTGGGTCAGCTTGCCAGCATCGTGTTCCCCCCCACCCCCTTTCCCACTCAGCCTGCCGGCTCACCTACCTGGCCTCCATGTTGAGGTGGAAATGCTGAAATGAAAGTGCAACACTGTCACCTTCTGAGAGTGCAAGGGAATAACAGCTGAAGAAGGCTGAGAGCTGAAGGGCAGCAGGCAGGAAGGCATATCTCTTACACCGGGCAGCACACTCACTACAATAAGAACGTCCACTTATTCCCTTCACATCTGCCATCATCCACAGAGGGACAGGGAGGGAGAGGGAGAGGAAGAGCTAAATTATACCCGGGCTGCGTGAGCTTCCTGGGAGCGATGAGCTGTCACAGAAGCAAGATGACTGGCTCAGCAGAAAGCGGTCAGTGTGGAGTTTAAGAGTGATGGACCGCTAAAAAGAGCGCTGGGGCAAGCTGCAGTCTGACCGGCCACAAGTTATGACTACAGAAAGAGTCTAGAATCATTGCTTTAAATCAGTGCTGAAGATGGACCGCAGAGTCCAGGAGCGATGTGAACAAGCTGAGACCAATTTTGTTCACGCACACACAAACTCAAGTTTTTCTGGACACCAATTAAATTTAGGCTGCCATCAAGCAGGCAAGCCTGAAGGTCACCAAGATTTTTTTTGGCACAGAGGGGCAGGGCTGCCTTTGATTCTCTTTGTGCAGTAAACTTGTACTATTCTTCTGCAATCAGACAAACAAAATCATTTTTTTGTTGTATTACACAGAGAAGGAACCAACAAGTATACATTGTTCCAGTGGTAAAAGCAACAAACTGGCTTCAAGTGATAATGCCATGTCTCAGTAAACATACGTCCCTGGGCACCCATCTCCAGCTTGGCCTTTTGCTCTTGCTGCAACTTCTAGACCGCTGCTTGTTAGCGGAGTTGGCCGGCATTCGGTCAACTGAGCTCTAACGAGCAGTCTGAATCAGCAAGGTCGTTTCCCGCAGTCTGAGGGCCAAGGTTGGGGACCGACCTCTTCTGCAGGCCAGAAGCCAGTCTGACAGAAGGCCGGGAACTAATCATGGCAGCCACTGAACAGGACCAGCATGCCATACTAATTACACGGCGATTGTAGACTACAGCCTACAATGAGCAGAGCATTAATTATCTTATAGATAGCACAAAGCCTATTCGCACACTGTATGATGCATTATCTTGTTTCAAATTAGGTTTGCACCGCTATGCTAGAAAATCTCACTTGGAAACGAGACCTTGGATCTCAAGAGACTTACCTGGTTACATAAAGGTTAAAAAGGCAATTAACATTTAGAGATGTAATAGGAAGACTCAGTATGTGAGCTTCATTATGAGGATGTTGTACGTGTGGAGCTGTGGGGATGAAGATGGGTTTTAGCCCCTACCTCCGTCAAAGTCGGCCTCGTCCTCCGTGTGCTGGGGAAGGGAAAGCAGGCGAAATCTCCAGGTGGTTGTCCACCACTAGGCTAAGAAAGACTCCTGCACTATCCCACTGCCCTGGCTCTCCTCATGGTAGTGCTTTATAATCTTTAGCACCACCTGCCAGAAAACAGACACTCAGTATAGTATAGTGTAGTAAGGTTTGTGTGTGAGCATGTGCTATTGTTATGAAAATGTCCACAAAAAATAAAAATAAAATAGGAGGAATAAATAGCAAAAAAAATAAATAAATAAAAAAGAAAAAATAGGTAACCTATTCTGAAATGACCTGACATGGTAAAGTACGTTTTTACAGAGTTACTTGTTCAATTTCTAAAAATTACAAGGGCAAAAATATTTATTTTAGGTAGCATATAGGCAGTTACATATATGTGATAAATATAGGAAATATAAAGCAAAATTTATATCAGAATATTTTCTACTTTGTAGACAATTACAATATTAAGTAATTAAGTACAACAAAACAACAACAACAATAATAATCATAATACATATTTTATAAATACTTCAAATTAATAAAACAAGATTAGGGATGCACCAAAATTTACAGCACCCAAAAAAAAGTTTTAAAAATCCTGGCCGAAGGAAAAAAAATGATTAAACAAGACTACAACAAAATGTCAAAAAGTAACACTGAACAAATCATTTGAACAGTAACAAAAATGAGAAATGGAGATTAAAATTAAATTACATTTTAAACGGTGGGGAAAAACGTTTATGTACATATATTATTTGTCAGCTCACTTAGGTCCTATTGAAAGCAGATTTTGTCAATAATAAAAGGTGTTTTCTTTATTATCTAGTATAAGTAGTGCCTTTAGAACCTTTTTTTTTCAAAAGCATACATAAAACGACAAATTTAAAATTTGCCAGGTGTCTTCAATTTTGGTTTCAGTTTCAACCAGGAACCTTCATTTCAGTGCATCACTGAACAAGATCTCTTCTTAACCAGGGGCTGTTTTATAGAATCTCCCTATATTTTTGTATCAAGTTCAATTTTTACCTGTCAGATCTTTTCACAAATTCATAATTCGGAAGCAAGTCTTATCCTAATTTAGGACTCTTATTAGCATCTCATCTCAAGTTAGGAAATCCTAAACTACTTGATCGAGGTTGATAATCAACTGTTAAGTCTGTTACAAAGCAATCTGCGATACGCGCCCAGCTGAAATAGACAAGTACTCGAAAATAACCTTAAAATGTAAGTTACAGCTACCGTTATGAATGTAAAAAAGGTCAAGACAGAGCATACAGAGTCAATGCAACTTAAAAATATAGCTGCAATGGAATATGGAGCAGTTGTGTTTCTTAACTAAAGGTACTGCTGACATACCCTTGAGGTTACCACCCCAAACTAAAGCATTTAGTACAATTTTTCCTGTGAGTGTACTTGACCCCGCGTTCCGGCAAGGTACAAAAAACATTTTTAGGCAAGCAGAGAGCATTACAGAAACAGACGAAAACGAAAAAGCACAGGGTCAGACAGGTTACACGTTTAGAACAGAAGTTAACAAGAGAGTCAGTGAATATTTTCCCAATTATGCAAGAGACAGAAAGAGAGAGAAAGAGAGACGGAGAAAGTGATTAGAGAACGTAAAAGAGTAAAAGGCAGATCACAGACTTTCGCTTTTGGTAAAGTGGCTGAAGGGCGAGATCACTGTATAAGAACTGCCCTCCATGGTAACAGGTCACACTCACAGCACTCTGGCCGGCGCACGGAAGTCCGAGAGAGCCAGAGGGTTAATGGAAACACAATTACCCTTACTGTCTCATTATGCTGTCCGTGGGAGAGCTGCTTTCTGAATAAAGCTCATAGCTCTACGGCCTTCTCGACATGCAGTCAGGTCTAACAGGGGTGCAGCTCGCTGTGCCCTTAGCCTGATTGAGCCCTGTATTTTTAGATGTAGAACAGTTTGGCATAACGTTACAATTAGGTTTTTGTATGGTTCTGCTGAACCGTGTGTTCGCGATCAACACAAGGTGAAAAATAAACTCTAAAATAGCCTGAGCTTTTGGGAGGACTTGGCCAAAACAGCGGAAAGCAGCTGACATCAATGGTCTAAATTGGTCTCTCTTATGATTCAAGCAGTTGTTCGGCGTTCTAGAAGGACCAATCATACCCATGATTTACTCAGAAAAGTGTACTGTGACTGAGGACTCAGGGTCAACATGTATGACAGATGATTAGGTTTGACTGCTATTTTGAAGTGATATTTGATGATGCATTTATTGCAATCCGGAATAGAAGAATGTTTTGCCGATGCTGGGATGTGTCAGTGTAACACTGGGCAACAGTTGACAAGGTTAACACCAGACCAGATCAAAAATCAGTAGGAAAAAACACAGTACATGGGAGCAGGCAAAACAGTCATAAACAAGCAAGGGTCGAAACCAAGACATCTAACAAACAGGTGAACAAAGACAATAGGGGAGATTCCAAAAGATGACAAAAGAGAAACAAAGCAACTTGGGATAAGCAGTAAACAAGAAAACGGCTCGGTATGCACTGACAGAACAGGGGCAATACTTTGCAAAGTAACAGTGAGACAGACAGGCTTAAATACAGAGTTCTATAGGTGATGACCATCAGTACTCAGGTGACTTGGATCTTCTAGTAGACTGGTGATTGGTTGACAGAGTCACGACATACTGAGGGATCTTGGGAGTTGGAGGTTGTAGTGAGGTGAGAGTCCGACTCAGAACCAGGAAGCGTGAGAGTCAGCATTTTATCCATTTTACCACATTTGTAACTCTACAGAAGCAGGCTTTACATTGTACATAACATATACATAACAAATTTCAGATGTCACCATCAACCCACAAATCCCAGCCAAAATATCGGCGCAGCCCTAATTGTGATGAAATTAATCACAATAATGATGGCATCATATTTCCGTCCTTACTTTCAAACATGTGCATAGTACTTACTATGGGACATACTGTCAGCTCCTCTTAAAGATCAACCATATAACATGAATCATTCACTTTCTATGTGGCTCAAACAGGCCTGTTCCAGCACTAATTGGAAGGAAGGCAAGAAACACCTTGGACAGGTCGCCAGTCCATCACAGGGCAGACACACAGATATACACAGTCACATTTACACCTAGGGACAACTTAGTATCTCCAATTCGCCTGACTGCATGTCTTTGGACTGTGGGAGAAAACCAGAGAACCCGGAAGAAACCCACGCAGACACGGGGAGAACACCACACAGAAAGGACGCTGGTCGCACAGTCAGGAAATCGAACCCAGGCTCTTCTAGCTGTGAAGCGTAAATGTAACGTAAAATTTAAATAAACATCAAGTCACTTTACCGGGAAATACAAATTTACATCACCAATTTTACGTCTATTCATCAAGTATGTTCATCAAGCATGTAGATGGTTTGAGCGTCCCTCCAAAAGTGCTTTGTTGCCATCTCACAGGTGCTGCGTTAAACGCTGCTTGCTGTTTACAGGATGGCGCTCTGTTGTCACACATGCGCAGCCTGAAAAAAAATGAAAGAAATCAGAGTAAGGGCTTACATGCACTGAAAAACACAATTACTGAGCTAACAGTTAGCTCTCTTTTTCTTCATAAGATTTCTAGGCCTTACTCCGATCTAAGAAATTAGAGTATGCTGTTTACTTAAACACTTGAATAATCAGATAACTGCTGAAATCCAACAACGATCGAATTATAATGTGCATGTAAACGCACAAAAGCCAATGTGATGACCATCAAGCACACCTCGGTGGTAGAGGCCCTTCTTCAAACGCCAGTTTTCACTTCAAGTCATCACCATCGTATTCTTAAAAGCACTGCCATAGTTTGGACTTCTTCTTCTTCTTATTGCCATCTCCTCACTCCGCCTGTAGCAAAGAGCTTATCAGATGTCACAAAAGGTTTGTTGAAGCAACATTTTTTGATTCACAGATTTGCCAGCTTTATTTTCAGTTACATAACCAGAATTTATAAGTGGCAAATACCGAACACAAGCCCTGAACCCTCTGACGTTTGGGCACTTGGTAGAACTGATTTGATTCTGTCAGTGCTGTCTAGGAACTGAATTGCAGTACTCAGTCCCAGACACAAACCCTGGGATGAAAGGTTGTTTATGAAGTCGTTTTCTCTCTGTGATCCTGAAACAGGCTTTAAGGTGATAGAGGGAAAGAGCCGAAAGCTTAACTCCCTTGAAGCGCAGTCCTGCCAAGCTTATCATCTCAAATAGAGGTGCCACTCCACGGGTATTCCGAAAAAGCGTTGATCCGCTAAATCATTTATGACGCTAGTCAAACACCTGCTTCCCCAAATGAAATGGAAGGCGAAGCTCCCTACAAATAGGGGCAAACAACACATCTAAAGCCATTGCTGAGCACCACTGGGCAGCAGTCACCTCATGGGTCACCATGCCAGACCAGAGCGTGAGCCTATGACCGATTTATAAAGACATTTACACAGATGTTGGGTAATGCACAAATAAAAAGAACTGAAAATAAAGACCAATTGATTAGAAATGACCAGCCATTTGTATCCCAATCATTCTTTGTTCAATCAGCTTAGGCTGTATTATGGTAGTTCATCTAACCGTTCAAGTCGCTCTGTGCCTGTAGTCGGGTTCACAATTCAAATCCTGCATTTACAGACTATGTTGTCATCTTTTGCATGCATTTGTCAGTGTCAATCTGGATGTTTTCTCTCAATTTAAAAGGCAATAAACTCTCGGTGCAGGAGGTCCTTCATTATTTCATTACAGTCCCAGCAATCTGAGCTCAGCTTTTGCCTCCACTGATGCGTATGACTGGCTCTGGCAAAGTCTTGAAAAACATGGGCATCATTAATTCAGTAACACCTGGATTTGCTACAGTTTCACTGTGCATTTCGGTGTAATGAATCTGACTGGATGCTTGCACCCAACCAACAGCAGGAGGCAACAAGACCTACCTCCACAGCTCTTCAATCACTGAATTTCCTGAGAAGAAACTGATCTGTAAGCAAACCTAGCAAATTCCATGGAAGGGTCGTATACATTTGCATTCAGTTAAATTCTTTTTAACTTACTTGAAAAAGTCCTCACTTAACACATCAGAACGTTTGATTCCATCAGAGAACTTGTAGAGAGGAGAATTACCACTCTGTTATGTCTTCCAGGTTTCTCAAACGCTAGAGGGCGCTCTGGAGCGAGTCCAAAATGATTGGGTTAAGATGGAGCATTTGAACAAAATCATAGTTTTTAATTTTTACCCGATTTTTCTCCCCAATTTAGTCGTCTCCAATTCCACCCGCTAGTTAGGACTCCCCCAATCACACGATGCCATCAACGCTAGGAGGGTGAAGGCTAACACAGGCTTCCTCCGAGACCTGTGAAGCCAACCACCGCTTCTTTTCGAACTGCCGCTCACGCAACGTCACTGGACAGCCGAACGCGCTCGGAGGAAAGCGCCAACCGCCAGATCTGTTACGTCAGCTAACAGACGCCTGCGCTGACTAGCATCGCGCTGAGTGATGGGGGGAGAAGGAGGGGCCATCCCACCCACCCAGAGAGAGCGAGGCCAATTGTGCTCTCTTGGACTCCCGGCTACGGACGGCTGTAGCATCACCAGGGATCGAACTCGCGATCTCCTGATGACAGGGCCAACGCTTAGACGGTTGTGCCACTCGGGAGCCCCTTAAACATTTTTAATGTAAAAGAATACATTAATATCCTGAACACTGGATAGCATAAAACATAACACTGCTGTTATATTTTTAAACGCTTTTAAACTCAATTGATATGAGTTTAAAATGGCGCCTCATGTACATTCATGACATCAGTGAGCGCAAACAGCTAATGAGCTGCTCGGCTCGCCAACCAATAAGCACCCAGTAGCAGTAATCCCAGCGTCCTACTTCCCAAAACCCATTTGTTGTAGAAAAAGAAGGAAACAAACAGGTAAGTTTTCTTTGCTTTATTAGTGACATACATCCCTCTACTTTCTAAAATTAAAGGAAAGTTCAGGGCAAGTAATTAGAAACTATTTTAACTTTTCGTTTAGCTGTTGAGCTCCATTTACCCCCAATTCACTGAGGACTCGCTCGTAGGTGACCTCTGTTGTTTAGCAGCCCTGTTTTTGATATAACGGGGGAAATAAGAAAGGGGCCAGGCTCCTCATAAACCGAATCTGATTCCATTCTCTCCACCTCAAATGTTTGTCTTCTTGTCTGAGCAGAATTAAAGTCCCAGGAAGCACAGAGTGAAATATAAAAATGTTTGTACGAGACAAATAGTCTTCTGTTAAAGATACAGCAAAGCTTCAATGAAAAATATAAGATATAAATATGATAAAACATGGCTTAAAAAGTGCAGATCAGAGCTATCTAAGGACTGTGTGGGCGTGGCAGCTTTTATGTGACGGTAACTGGACAAAAAAAATTCATGGACGAACAGACGTGCAGAAAGATGAGCCAGCAAAGGAACAACAAAAGCAACACATGAATGAAGGAACAGATGAACTTCAGGTTAGCTTTAGCTCGCTAAGTTTCTCTGACTCTGAAACTGTTTTGTGTGGGCGGGGCAAGAGACGTCAGCCTTGTGATTGGTCAGGGAAATGCTTACGGATGATTAGGACCACCCAGTTTACATTGAGAGGAGAGAAATATATCAGTCGTTTATTGGTTATTAAGGGGTTAACATGATACATGTTCACTGTTTCCCTGCAAGAACAAGATTAACCTAATTAGAAAGAAAACACAGATTTAGGTTCTCTGGGTCTTGAAGTGAATGCCAGGGGGGCAAACAGAGGCCACAAAATGGTTGCCAATGGATTAAAGCAGGTTACCAAGCAACTGAACAACTGTTAATGTCAAGCCCTGGATCACACACTTGGCCTCAAACCCGATCAGGTTGTTAAGTAACTGCAAACGGACGTATGTGGTTTGACATACTAGTAGACAGTAGTAGCTACTAGTCACTACAGCAGATGATACTAGCATCATGAAGCCTGTTTGCACTTCTGTCCATTTTTGGTGCAGGTTTCTTTAACCTGCTAGCCATATTAGCTTCACATCTCCAGATGTGACTAAAGAGGCAAACTAAACACCAAAATCTGATCTGGCCAAGTCACAAGATCACAAGACTAAAGATGGCACAGATGTTTGTAGTGTTGCAAAATGCAAAGCGAAATAAAGTTAAGCATTTTATAAAATCAGTCACCCCTTGATAATGTCACAAGTCTTAAAAAAGATGGTTCTTTAAGGGTTCTTTAGTAAAGGCAATGGTTCTACTTATGGTGAAATGGTTCAACACATTTATGGAGATTGTGTTGTATATCTCTGTTGTCGAAAGAAAACCTCGTATCTCCATTTTCGATGTTTTTTTCAGTTTTTGACATAAGTCAAAAGTATCTTGTTCCCCTTTACATTGTATGCAAATTTCATGTTGAATGGACTAAAATAAATGACCCAAAATGATCTGGAAAAAACGTCTGGTTCCATTGACTTACATTAAAAGTAAAGTAGGTTTTTTCCTTCTCCTGTAAAGTTAGTATTTTTGAGATATGATGTTTTCTTCCAACAACAGCAATATGGTTCTATATAGAAGCTTTTCGAAAATGGTTCTATATAGCACCAAAAAGGTTCTTCTACCCTTACGGTGTCAATCTTTTAACAATTGAAGAAGGTTTTTTTGGTGCTATACTGAACCCTTCTCAAACATCTTATAATCTCCATCAATCTGAAGAGACATTTTACAATGCAAAGAATCATTTAAGCTCGAAATGGTTCTATATAGCATTCCTGGTTCTAAATAGAACCATTGAAGAACCAGTGTTTGAGTAATGTGAGCTCTGCATATAAAGCTTATTAGTTTTCAAAGAAAACACAGTTGATCATGTCAGCCAATATGTAAGGTTTCAGGATCTGTATCAGAAAAATTTACATGGCTTCTTAGATTTTTGCCATACCCCCCAATCCTCCAGACTCATAATCACACCACCATCGACTGAACAGGTAGGTGAACTCCAGCTCGTCATCCAACCCCACCATTCTTACCCCATAATAGCTGGGCGACAGCATCTGAATGTTTACCACAGCATCTGTTCCAGCAGCCAGGCTTCAGCTCCACTCCGTCCAGCTCCTACCACCTGAGTCCTGACAACAGAGTGCACTACCTCATTGGAAACACAACCCAAGAGAGTCCGAAAGCACAGCTAACGGACCCACCAAACGAAGCACCCCCTGGCTGTATTTCTAAAAGGAATTTTTTTCCTAGCAATCATCTCTACAAAGCAGCATGGCCTAAAAACATTTGTGGCCCACATTACAAGCATGGCTCAGCAAAGGAGTGATGCAACGTAAAGAAACTACTGTACTCCAAAGGAGCGCAGGTGAATTATTTATTTATCACATTCCGCACAGACTCACTTTCATTCTACTGTACTCTTCTAGTCCTCTAGTTATCAAAGACAGCAAGCAAATAAAGAAGAAGTAATTACAGGTATGTGTACACAGCCTTTCAGAGCGTCAGAAATGCCAAAGCTAGTCTGCCAGCTGAAGAAATCTGTTGATGCTTTTTGAAAACTATTCCAGGCTTTAATAAAAGGCCTACGCAAATGCAGCCGACAAGGCTGTAGACTGGGATGAAGCGCGCTCAGGAAGCTGATGGAAGTGCCCCATTAGACATCTTGAGTGTTTGAAAATGCAGTAACCAGTCTCTGCTGTCAAATCTGCAAGAGTGGCCATGAACTTTGAGGCAAGCCTGCCCCCTGCTGGCAATGGGAGAAATTTCTTCTATTCAGCAATGCATGCAGCAGCAAAGCTTTTCACTGAGCTGACAACATTAAAGTCAGCTTGAAATCAAAACTGACCTTTTTTCATGTTAATATGTTTATTTTCTTTGTCAGATTCAGCTTGATTTACATGAAATAATTTAAAAGATGGAATGTGTGGTTTCCCATTTTGATTAGCGTGCACCAGCGGGCAGGGAAAATAATATGCATAATGATATCAGAATCATACTGGTATCAGCAGAAAACAAAAAGAACTGTTGTTCAGTTAATATCTGATAACTGTGGGTCTACATGAGTCAGACAATAATCAGATTTCTGCTTTGCAACCTACTAATAAATGCAGCTGGAGCCTATCCCAGTGGTCACTAGGCGAAAGGCAGGAAACACTCTGGACAGGTCGCCAGTCTGTCGCAGACATATACAATCACACACACATTAACAGCTAGGGGCAATTTAGCATGTCCAACTGGCTTGACTGTATGTCTTTGGACTATGGGAGGAAACTCACACAGACACGGCGAGAACATGCAACTCCACACAGACAAAATCCCGGTCGCCCGGCCAGGGAATCGAACCTGTGAGACGACAGGGCTACCAACTGCGCCACCGTGCCACCCAACTTGGAGTCACTTTAATGGCAAGTATAAACACACATCATCTAGAAGATGAAGAGTATTGAAACACTCCATTTAGTCAGGTACGTAGCTGGTTTCAGCATCACTCCAATGGAGAACACGCATGATCAGCATGTTATTTACACGACCCCTTAAATATCAAATAACTGCAGAAATCTGATAATGATCATATTATTGATGAGCATGTAAATGCACTCTTTGTCGACATTTTACAAATGTTACTGTACAGGCCTCAGCAGATACATACATGAAAAATATCGGCCCACAGTTCCCATAAATATGAACCTAGTGCTGAACAATGAATCTTTCATATTAAAATAAAAATGCAAAGTGGAATCGCTTTTAATTATGTTCCACATTATTTAATGTTGTCTAACTATTTAATTTAAGTGGACCTGTCAGTCCGGCAGACTACATTCAGTATTCAAGCCTTAAGTCCAAAAAAAATGGATGTGCTGGATCATGAGACCTAAATTTGGCCTGGACTTTAATTTATAGACAAATAATTGCATTTAAATTTGAATCACCATACAGCTCTACATTAACCAATAAGAGCATGTTTTACCTCCCCTCCACCCAACCCCATCTTATCATAGCTCAGAGATCCTTCACAGACACCATGTTTCACCACATACAACCATCAGCTATTACATTAAAACCACCTCCTTGTTTTTACATTATTGTCCATATAGGTGCACTTTGTAGTTCTACAGTTACAGACTGTAGTCCATCTGTTTCTCTGCATACTTTGTTAGCCCCCTTTTACCCTGTTCTTCAATGGTCAGGACCCCCACAGGACCACCACAGAGAAGGTACTATTTAGGTGGTGGATCATTCTCAGCACTGCAGTAACACTGACGTGGTGGTGGTGTGTTAGTGTGTGTTGCGCTGGTCCGAGTGGATCAGACACAGCAGTGCTGCTGGAGTTTTTAAACACCTCAGTGTCACTGCTGGACTGAGAATATCCAGCATACAGTGTCCTGTTACCAGTGATGAGGGACTAGAGGGTGACCAACAAAAACTGTGCAGCAACAGATGAGATACCGTCTCTGAATTTACATCTACAATAGTGTGTGGGTGAGTCTAATAGAGTGGACAGTGAGTGGACACTGTTCACTACAAAGTGGACTACACATGGACTACAGTCTGTAACTGTAGAACTACAAAGTGGTCCTATGTGGTAAATGGAGCTGATCCATCCAACCATCCATCCATCCATCCATCCATCATCTAAACCGCTCATCCTTCTGGGTAAGTGGAGCTGATAAAATGCACAATAAGTGTAGAAACAAAGTAGGTGTACCTAATAAAGTGACCATTGAGTAAGTTTATAAAAATAAATTTTAAACCAATAAATAGTGCAATTTTCTTGTGTTAGTAATTTTAACTATTGATTCTTGTCACTAAATTCACATTTCTGGTAACAAAACCTACTAAATTAAATGTTTTAAGATTTTTTTTAAATTACAAATGACTGAACAACAAGGGTTAATGCAGTGAGGTGAGAAACAGGGTTGGACGCAGATTATATTACCCATTAAGATGATAATATTATGCAGTAAAAAACATATCAAGTATACAACATACTGCAGATGGGAGAGATGAAAAATTGTTTTAACCAAAATGTTTTCATTTAAATATGTGTTTCAAGCCATTTTCATTTAAAATAATTTAAGATTTAAAATGGGCTGCAACATTTGGCTAAATAAACAGCACTCAGGAGTGGTTAGTTGTTGCATGCCAACTACTAATAACCAAACTGTTTCCATAAATGTATTAAAGTATATTCTTTTTTCTGACAATAATTTTGAACGGTCAAGCTTTACTCATGCAGCCAAATCAACTGAGAATAGAATGAGTAAGAATACTGACTTGCCTGATGGTCATTCTCCAGAAAACAACATAATGATGTAAATTCCTGTAAATATCATAAACAGAATTTTCCATTTTTTACAGGTTTGGGTAACAGCATGTATAAAATGGGACACAGGTTAAAATGACTTTTGAATTAAATAAATGAATGGGGGTAAAAATCATTTTGACATTAAATTGCTTGGAAATGAAGCAAATAACATTGGGCCTCATTCACCAACCGTCGAAGAAATTTCTTCATAAAATCCAGTTACTTTTACAAGATTCTGAAATTAAATAAAAACAGAATCTACACTCAAGAGCACAAAGGAGTGAACATTTCTACAGTTTAAAAACACACCATGAACCTGGTGTAGACTTTTTTAAGGATCTTTCTCAAAAACAAATTTAAGAAATAACTTATTATTGATGAATATTGGTGAATGAGGCCCAATGTTATTATGATGTTACTGGACAATACCTATATTTCATAGAGAAGTGGGTGGGAAAGCCCAAAATCACCATTTTAAAAGGGGGATACATACATTTTACTTGTTTGGTGATCATTTAAATGCCAATTTTCATGTTTGTTTTAAAGTACAGGTCCCTCACTTTTCACAGAAATAAAAAAGAACCCGACAACAGTCATTTTACTGCTTTTAAGAAGACAGTGGTACAGAAACTGGACTCTATTCATGGAAAGTGCTCCTATAGGCTGAGTGGAGCTGAAGTGGACAGTGAGTGTGGAGGAGAGGTTTAATGTTATGGCTGGTGGGAGTGTTGGGTCCCTGAAAATGCGGCTTCCGGTCTGTAAACATCAGTGCACTCCTCACTCAGGCTGAGCTCAGCAGCTCCTCTCAGAACAGCCCAGCTTTACGGGTTTAAACGGGCGCCTCTGAGGTTTTAATCTGTACTGACTCAGACACTCACCAGCCCCTCTGTCTGGACCCGTCTGAGCCGCGAATCCAGAGAAACTGAAGCTGTGGTTTTTGTTGACTCTATACGAGCTGCCATAGTGGAAGCGGGCGCGCGGCTGTATCCGGTGTTCTTATGAAGCTACTTCCGGTTTGAGTTGAAGACATTGGCTGCGGCTCAAACGCCTGGTTCCCTAAAAAGTGGACTATTTTTGGGATTCTTACATTTTCTAGAGCGTCTAACATAGAAAAAATCAGGCAGGCAAGAAGCGGGGGGCTAAGAGGGCCTCAGCTTCCCAGATATCAAACTGCAACTGCTAAAAACAACAATACAGAAAACTTTAATAATTCGAATGTAGCAAAGACTTGTGTGTGCTTGTTTACTGAGCTCTGCTAAAGCCTGAGTAGACTGATAAATCAATGTGATGATCAGTTATTAATCTCAGTGTTACTGAGCTCTGCTAAAGCCTGAGTAGACTGATAAATCAGTGTGATGATCAGTTATTAATCTCAGTGTTACTGAGCTCTGCTAAAGCCTGAGTAGACTGATAAATCAGTGTGATGATCAGTTATTAATCTCAGTGTTACTGAGCTCTGCTAAAGCCTGAGTAGACTGATAAATCACTGTGATCAGTTATTAATCTGTTACTGAGCTCTGCTAAAGCCTGAGTAGACTGATAAATCAATGTGATGATCAGTTATTAATTTCAGTGTTACTGAGCTCTGCTAAAGCCTGAGTAGACTGATAAATCAATGTGATGATCAGTTATTAATTTCAGTGTTACTGAGCTCTTTGAAAGAAATGATCAAACTGAACACTTTTTAGTGGTGGACAAGTTTTGCGAGTGATAAACTTAGCATCAGTGTTGTACTGGATTCAAAGAACTGTGTGAATTAAATTTTAGAAGTATTTCCCATGCATCTTACAAAGATGTATTATAAATGTATTCTAAATACATTACTTTTTATGTATTGTAACAGAATATATTACTCAGTACCGATAGGGCAGTGTACTCAGCCATGACTACTTTTTCCTAGGTATTTTGCAATACTTGTGGATTTTTCTGCATAGGGCACAGGGAGCAAGTGAAAGAGTGAACCTTTCAAATACCCTATGGCACCCTGGACCTACGGCCCAGATTACAACTGGACAGCAAATGTAGCTCAAGGGAACTTTGTCCCTTTAACGATTTCTTCAAAGTGTCAGCATAATTCAGCAAAATTAACTGTTAAGATGTAAACAAAGCCATTCAGACTGTTTTGATGTGGAATCCTCCGTTCCAGAAGTCTTCACATTAGTGGTGACAGGAACCAGACATCCAAAAAGTTTAATACTTCCAAAAGCTAACTCAAACATTATTACATTAAATGCTTCCAAATATGCTTCCTTTGTTTGTCCTATGCTGCCATTGTTTTACAATAGTTTAAAGATTTTGGTTGAAAGATCATAATTTAAAATCTATTTATGGCAGAGAGATACAGGCAGGGCGTTGTAAGGCAAAATATCATCACATTGGGTGGCAACAGCTTTATCCCATGAATCATAAATCAGATAAAACTTGAGACCCTTAGAAAACATTGTCTTCACGTTTAAAAAAAAAAAAAATGTACATATTTAAGGGCTACTTGATCATCTGATGTTTACACCTGCAGTAGGTTGTCCCTAGTGTTTGAAACATTTCAGGCCCCCAAGCACTGGCACCACTGGCCTGGTCAGCTATCCATTCTTGGTTCTTATCACCACCACTGCTGATAAATCAGTTGTTAAGTTTCCCTGCAGTGAGCCATTTTACATCAAACCACTCTTAAAGACTTTGTTTACATCTTAATTCAATCACACATACATGCTGAACAATTTTTTCCTGAGAGGTTTAGGTCACTATAGGCCACACGTTTAGTTGTACACAGTAAAACCTCAGTAATCCTAAAATATTGATAGTACGCTGTAGTTTTTGAAGGCCAAGGCTACAGAGCAGAAACTTAATTTGACTAACACTACAAACATACACAGACAGAAGACTATAATTAGCAGCACAAAATTACAAGTACGAAGTCAACGACATGACCATATTCCAGGTTGAAATTTATATTGTATTAAATGAAACTGGGGGTGTTTGACAGAGTTGTACAAAGTGTAATACTATCGAAAGATTAAGAACAATTTAACATCAGTTGAAATACCAACTCAGCTGGAAGGCTATTATTAATTATCTTTAAGTGCATAGAGTTCCCAATCTCTGTAGAGTTTTAATAATCCTTTAATAACCATCATCATTAAAAGAGATACAAAATGTTGAGCTTCTGCATCATTCAAATACACCACAGCTTCCAAAAATAAACCTTTGTCTCAAATGTGACATTATCAAAAAGGTAAAAATGTATACACCTATTCTACTTGTATTTAAACTGTAAAACCTAGCGGGTAAAACCAACATAATAAAACAGAAATGATCGGTGGAACGAAGAAGTGAGGTTGAAAAGTTCAACTGAGGTTACAGGAGTACAAAAAAGGAACGACATGCAAACCTCCCTCCCTGCTATGTAGAGGACAATCTCTGCATGATCAAAAAGGGGTCTTGATTCAAATGCATAAAAATTGGCCTAAAACAAGCTGAAAATAGTTACAAAAAAGAAAACTGAACAGTAAAAAGTGTTAAATACAACTAAAACAAGAGTAACACAGATCTATACAATGTGGAACCGTGGTCCCGGCGTGGCGATGATGTCGCTGTAGGGCTCAGCTTGGGACAGATCGACGGCTTGCTGTTTCTTCAGGACCAGGAAACTGTAGAACTTGGCTGCGGCTTGTTTTTTGTTGTTGTTCCTGCACAGTTCCAGCAGGCTGATGGACTGGGCGCCGGTTTTAGCCACCACACGCTGCAAAAACCAAAAGCAATCAATTAGACTTCGAATCGTGCATTAAAATACTGCATTATGCAGCAAGAACACGGTGTCTCAAAAGCCTCAAAAACTACTTGGTCAGCCTGAACCATGATTGTACCTTGTTAGACCATGTCTCTAGTCATATTAGGCATATCATATCCAATTCACATTAAAGAGATTTTATCCTACTTATCTGTTGATCACATAACTGCACCAGTGGGCAGGGAAAATAGTATTACCAGTAATAATATTTCTCCTCCCATTACTGCAACCACCCATTACTGAAAGAAAAAGCTTAGCTAGCTCATAAACCCTTATTGATAGTTTTTCACTCGCAAACATGAAGAAAGCAAAGGTGTTATGACTTTTGATTCATGCTGACATGTTGAGATATACTGCTATATCAAATATGATTAGCATAGGAAGAAGATGGCAATTCTTGATGCCATTATAACACTGCAGTAACATCAGTGGCATACCTGAAGTCCATGCAGCATCTGCTGGGTTCTCTTGTTCCATCTCCTCTCCTCTTGGTCCTGGTCTCCACCTTGACCCTCTGCCTCCTATTTAAATCAAACAATAACAAATTCTGTCATCAGACAGCTCCAAAGCCACACTAACTGAGTGAGGTGAAAAGGCAAATGCTCTTTGGTCTTCTCATATTTCTCAAGCAATGCCCTCATTGCAACACCCCTGTTGAATATGCCTATTATATTGCGTCCATTCAACAAAGCTGCTGAATCTTTTCCATAAGTTAATATTCTTAATGTTTAGTCTGAGTGCTAAATTTTACTTTTTTTGTCTACAAAGTAAATTTAACAAGTGACAAAGCTCTTACCTCCTCCTCCTCGCTGTCGTCTTTGTCTTTGCTTTTCTCTCCCAACAGGTCTAGCTCAGGGACGAGTCTGGAGAGGTTGGTGCTGTCCTCGGGTGGCAGGTCAACCTGTGGCATATCGAGCTGCTGGGACAGCACAGACTGCTCCACCGGTTGCAAAGTCTGATCAAGCATGCCCATTGGCTGCAGAAGCAACACACAAATAAACATAGTATTACATACTCTATACACACACACACACACACACACACACACACACACAACACTCTACATAATTGTCTAATGTTATTTTATTATTATTATTTATTATTAAATATTAGTTTCACAGCAGTTACAAAATAATTCATAGTCATTATTGTATAATAAGCCTTAGATTGAACAGCTGAGTAATAAGCTGTCAGTGTAAGAGGTTAAATAATATACATGGCTAAGAACTATATTACAATTTATTCTGCATATTGCCATTCTACTAATCTTCCTTTGAATCAAATCATGAGGGCTTGAACAGAGTCCGAGTCCGACATTGGTGATAATCACAAAAATAAACCTGTAAGGAAAGATAAGCATGAGGAGGAGTAGCTGGCACTAGCTGACTCACCGGCAGAACTGTCTCAGGCTCCTGAGACTTGCGCTTGACTCCTCGCTGTCTGGAGGGGGGAGGCATCAGAGTCTCGTCCAGAGCTGTTCGGCTGCCCTCGATAGATGAGACCTGAAGCATGCTGGGCTCCTCCACTATGGTCTGATCTGTAACAGACAAAACAATACAAATTCACTCTCCATAGTGTTTTAAACTTGCACAGAGAAACAACAGCTAAACGTATGAATTTATCTTTATCAATTTAAAGCAACTTAGACACCCATTACAGCCCCTTAAAACAAATTCTGGTAAAGCGGCAAGAGGCTGAAAAGCAAACTGGCAAAAGGAGCGAGCTGTCTGACAGCTGTGCCATATTCTGAACAATTTTTGAGCATTTTTTCAGCTTGCCATCATCTTTAAATGCACCGTCTCTGGATGAGCTGGCATATGAATAAGTGCCTCAAGAGAAAGCATAAAGACTGTGCAGATTTCAAGACACAAATATACATTATGTCTATGACATTTCAATTTACCATACGCCATAATGTTTTGTTACCTATGCGCTGTGAGCCAAAGATAACTTTGCAAACCCATGTTAAGCCAGTAATCAGACAACTCTGGTTGGGCAGTTTGTGATGCAACTTTCTTGCCACATACCATCCACTATAAAATAGGTATCACCAGCAACCATGGACAACTGCAAATTGAAGTGTGAGTTGTATTTCATTTACACATATTTACAGTCAGCTCTGCAGAGGAATTCCACTTGTCACACTGAGTTGCTTAATACTTAACCCTGGCCAATCTGGAACTCCTTTTCAAAATAAACCCAACTATTATCTGTCTGGGAGCTGAACACAGCTGCAGACAGTAGCCAGACCATTCAAACCATACGTTCAAGGCCAAATGCGACACTTCAAAGCTCTCATCTTTACTGTCCAACATCACGTGTCAACATACTTACCGATAACATCTCTACTTTGCGTCAACTGCTCTTCTCGGGGAACTTCAGGGTTCTCAAGCTCCCTCAGGAACTCCTCCAGACTGTCAGCCTCGCCACCCTTCCTCCTCTTCCTCAGCTCATCCGGCACCAGCGGGGTCAGGCAGCGTGTGAACATCTGCCACATCATACGCTTAGCATTACTTTACTTGAATCAGCATATTTTTTTTAATTCTGCACAGATGCTAATTTAGGCAATGAGGTGCATATACCAGCTTTTAACACACAGGCTATTCCAAGTCTTGGATTACACTACACCAGCAATGAGTATTACCAGACTGGATTAAACGTTTGTTGAGCTAATTTGTTGCAGCTCAGCACAAGGCATAAAGGTCAAGAACAACACTAGTAAGCTCTATGAAACCCACACTGAACTCACACTAAACTAATAAAAACCTGTATGGAATGAGGGAAAGCATTGACTTTGGTAAGACTGACTGTTGAGATACCTTAAGCAGTCTGCCGTTCCAGAGTGGCTGTGCAGGCAGGGAGAAAAGCTTCTCCACCCCTCCAGTCTCCTTCCACATCATCAGCTTTTTGGTAGGTGGAGCCAGGTCCAGTGTGGTCACAATGTCTGAGTAGTCACTCAGCTGGGCACGGATGGTCTTACTGTCCAGCTCCTTCAAGCTGTCCACAATCAGCTTTCTCTTCCTCTTAGCCTTTGTCTCTTTCACTGTGAATGATGAGAGAACCTTCAGAATCTCATGCATTCTGCACTTGTCATTGGGGCGGAGCTACACTTAACAGCACAATTCTTTATTTTTCCTCACCAGAAAATTCCCCAGGTAACATCAAACTGCAAAGAAATTCTATTTTGCTTTGGCTGTTTCTTTACCAGTGATGTCGATGGGCTCCAGGGCAAAAGCCTCCTCCTCATTGGGCACCAGTGTGGTCTGCTCTGTCTGGTCTGTGGTGTTGGGCAGGGGCTCAACAGGGCCCGAATCAGGACTGTCCGGAGCTCCCGCAGCTAAATTGGCAACATCGTACAGAGGAATAAGCGATGCACATTGTTTACTTAGACAGATGCAGAATCCTACACCCTGATAGACAGCAATACGCATTCTAAAACACAAATCAACAAATTACTATAAAACCTGAATCAAAGCCTTCAAAACTGGCAAAATTCAAATGAACAACTAATGAGTTAAAGGTAATAGAACTGATATGGCATCACATGAAGCAGTAAAAGAAAATTAGCTCACGGGAAAAGTTGTCAAAGTCATCATCGTCATCTCCGTGGTCTGGGGGCATCATAACGCTGTCGGTGATGGCTGGAGGATCATCAAATATTCCTCCACCTCCATCACTGCTCAAGAGCTTATCCACTAAAAACAAGCAAATAGTTCTATTCATTAAAAAAAACTCAAACAGAACTACTCCAGTACATCAACCAAGAATAATCCATTTATCCAAAAAACAAGTTCCTAACTGTAAATCACACCATTAGGGCCGTCTACAAAGTATTTACCGAGTATTCCGCCATCACTATTTTCCAGGTTGTTCTCTCCAAAGTCATCATAGTCAAGGTTAGTTGACTTATCAGGCAAGTGGGCAGGGCCAGGCTCTGCCTCCAGCAAAAGATTGGAAGCAGATGATCCGTGGATGATGTCCATATCTAAGGCACTCTCCTCCCTCATGATCTCCCGGTCATCCATGCCAAAGTCACCTGTCATACACACAAAAACAGTAGGTTACCAGGGTGCAGAAACAATCTACATCAGTAGATTTATGGCCAAAATAACACTAGGATCATGCGCTATAGAACATTAATGAAAAAGAAAAAAAAACCCACTACTTTATTTAACTGAATTATTTATTACAGAAGTGTACCACAGGTGCAGTTAATTTACTTTAATTTATTCTTACCGAAGTCGTTGTCGGCCATGATGCTGAGATTGCCCACCTCCTCCCTCATGGTGATTTCCTCCACTCGGCTCTGGTTCAGATGTAAACTGCTGTGCTACATCTATGTCACTAGAAGAGGGGAAAACGCAGAGCAACGTCAATTCCACAAAGATGCTTTTAAGCAGGGCATCTGAGAATGATTTTTACACTTAAGATTGAGCAAAGCTCAAAGTTGGAAACTATAAGCAATGTATCACCACAGGTCACTGGCACTAAAAAGCTGAAACCTTTGCATGACAGTCAACCTATCAAGACCAATCCTTGGTAATCATTCCAATATTTCTACTCCACATATTTTCTTTTATTCTATATAGTGGATTATAGAGACCGCTAGAAAACACTCCAGCAATTAACCCCTCCGGGTTGAAAACTGGTTTATTTAGTAGAATCACCATTTACAGTAAGCGCTGATGTAGAGGTGGCTGATACAATATTTCATCAGCATTGTAATAAATGTCATAATACACTTTTCAGCGCATACAGGGACTATTAGTCAGTAATCTTTAAATCCTGACATGTTTCACAACAAAGTCAGTATAATTAGACCAGTAGATTTAGTGCATTGCAGTTTCTGAAACATTAAATAAAAATCAATGAAGCCATTGATTTTTTTTATTACTAAAATGTCTTAAAGTATCATGATTTGAATTTTTTGCCATATCGCCCACCCTTACATTGCCTAAGCCTTGACGAATTAATACTCAACTGCCTCACATTACTGATCTCCATTTAAGGGTTTGTGTCCTACATTTATGCTGTATTTGATCTGTTCTCAGACATGCACTTGGTAACAAAACGGTCATTTTTATGTAGCAAAAACAGTCATATTTAATTTTACATAACCCTTTCCCAACCTCTCTTCATCCCCTAAAACTAAATGGTTTGGTTGTGTTACTATGTTTGAGAGACATACGTAAATGACCCCTGTTCTGACTGGCTGTCAAGCCTCAAGCCTCATTCAAAAAGCAGTCAGTGTTTAAAACTTTAAATGGTTATAGAATCAATAGGTTGATCTGTAAATGCATTGGTTTTCACAACGTTACAAATTACAAAAAACTAGCTGTTTTTTGCAGCTCAGTTTCCATACATGGGACCATACGAGTGGTGAGTGAATGTTATGCTTTGAAACTAACACAGTTATGTACTATATCACTCTTGTAGTCAAAAACATATGAAAAATTTGCCTTTTCATGATATTGGCTCTTTAACACTAACAGGCAATGACTCTATCACATGACAAACAAAGGGTCTTGAACAACAGCAACGTGCAAACTTACTCCAGGTCTGGAAGGGGTTGATCAAAGTCATGGAACTCCTCTGGCAAGGTGATGGCGTTGTAAGCAGCCTCACGATTGTCTTCAGGGAGATCCACAACACCTGACGAGCACAGACAATTCAGAATAAATTAAATGCTTCTTCCTTTAGCACAGACAGCTGTATCTTCATGTACTAAATGTCAACGAATGTAGATCACAATAAACTCAGAAGATAAAACAATAAATGTGAACCTAACGGGTACGCATTTCTGTCATTACCTGGTCGGAAAGCCATTTTGATCTTAATGAATGCCTCATTACAGTCGGCAAGCAGGTATTTGGCTTTCCTATGGTAGATCCTCACCACACCCAGGAGAAGATGACCAGATGTACGCAAAGCCATTTTCACCTACAAAAGTAGCACCAATTTAGTAAGGGGGAAGACAGTCTACATAAATTTACATGCAACAGGTTTCATCACGCAGTTACAGCCCAATAACCAACACCAAATAAAGAACAAAACACACCTTGGGTGAGATTATGCTTTCCACACTGCTTTCCAGGTTGCACTCGAAGACATGGGCCTTGGTCAGCTTCTTGTCCCAGTGGGCCGCTAGCCAGATTTTGGCCAACGGCCCACGTTTGCTGAGGACGAAGTGGGCGTAAAACATTGCCCCTCAAAGATCACTCAAAGATAAAGGGGCTGCTACACCTGGGAGACACAAAACAAATTATAGCAACTTGTTGCTCTTAAAAGACCACTGGCTTACCTGATCTTCACCCATCTTAAAAGAGTATAAAGCTAATCTCAAAAAGGAAAAAGCCCTATGAGCTGCTAGTAAGAGCCTTAGATTTAGTGTAAAGCAACAAGCAAAGGCAGTTACACTAATTTTACAAAATTTATGTATAATTACACAGTTAACATCAAAAATGTGGGGTTTGTGCGAAATGCTTTTATAGAGTCAGAATTGTTCATAGCGGTGGTGATAGAAACTAGACTTCTCAGAAGTTTAACGCCTCTAAAGCTCCCTCCCAGACAGCTATTACATGAAATGGTTGGCACTGGCTGCTGTCCGAGACACCGTTTTACAGTAGTTTGGGTCTAAAACCTGTTTATTTTTAAGCCACTCGCAGCAGAGAGGTACATAAAGAGCATTCCACGGCAAAATATTCTCCAAAAGAAAACCTAATTTTTCCAGAGTGGCCATTACTTTCATTAATACAAAAACTAAGAAGAGATCTGTAGATTCATTCGTGGTTTTGCATAGCAAATAAAATGGCTATATTTGCATTGTAGACAACTGGAGTCCTGGTTACTACCGTCACCACTGTAAATAAATCTGAGTTAGTACGTTTCTCTGCAATCCACCATTTCACACAAAACCTCTCTGAATGACTTTGTTTACATTTCAACTTCTGAATTACACAGATTTTGTAAAAAATCGGTGGACTTCCCCTTTAAAGCACGCACTCTAGTATTTTGCGTGAAAGACGTTTCATGCAAATTAATTCACCGTACATGCAGCTACGTCCATCTGAACTAATCTAAATGTAGACCTTTTCGGTCAGTATTCGATAACTCCCATTAACTTATCGTTAAAAAGTGCGAAATTATTTAATGACGCCAAGCATGTTTACATCAACCAGCTGCAAAGCGACGAACGTTCACGACGAGGCTGAAACTGGCTTCCTATTCGCCAGCTTCTTGTTCGAAATGTCCCGTTCCACCTTAAATGGCGCAGCAGTTATATGTTGCACCGTTTAAGGTGGAACGGGAAAATCTGAACAAGAAGCTGGCGAATAAGCGAACCAATAAAGGCGCCAGAAAGTAACTGCTGCACCATTTAAGGTGGAACAGGAAAATACATTTTAAGGTGGAACGGGAAAATTCGAACAAGAAGCTGCCTTCAGCCTCGTACGTCTGCGTTAGCTGGAAAAAAAAACAAACAAACACGAAGCTAACGTTAGATAACTAGCTAACTAAGCGGTCTCTTGTGTAAGAGTTTACACACATTAATGCGCACAAACAAAAGCAACACTGCAAACAGAATCAGCCAAGTTTACTCGATCATTAATATTAGTTACTCTGTGCAGCTAAAAGCAAACTAGCGCTACGGCTAGCATACAAGCTAACTGATTAGCAAGTGTTAGCTTAGCTGCTCCTCAAAACTAACAACGCGCTGGCGTCAAAACACGGTCGAGCGCATTGGAAACAAAATGCAAATGTGGTAAGAGGAACGGTATTAATTAATTTGGTCCGTAAAGTAACCTAAACCGAACGAAACTGCAAGTTAAATGCTAAAATTGCTAACGACTCTAACTAGCCTGACGGCGCAGCTAGCCTAGCGAGCGGTCGGAAATTTTGATTAAGCGCTCCAAAAAGGCCGCAGTTCGCTTACGGACACAAACCTGCTCAAACTCACCATTCAACTGTAATGTCTCCGCAGCGGTGTGGAGTGGTGTAAGTTCTCCCTTCCCCGCTGGAGAGAGGTTAAAAGCGGTTTCCCTCCTTCCTCGTCCCTCTCATTGAATCGCGCTAAGATGGCGCCTCCCGCTCAGCGACGCTTTAAAATCAGCGGGATGTTTACGGTCGAAATTCGGCTGCAGGCGGAGCGAAGACTAAGCGGAGCGCGGGGCGGTGCTCCAATCAGAGCAACTGCGCTTTGCCTTCTAGTACACTGGATAAAAAGCACACTAATGTGATGTTGCTTTCAAGTCCCGTCGGAAATGGTCTACGAGACGAGCACACATAAACGCCACCACAGCGTTACGGAGCCTCTAAAGTAATATGGTGATCATTTTTTCATAAGGCGTGGCCTCAAATTGATTGTCAAATTGTCATGGATTACTATAGTGAGGCCACAAATCACTATACTGAGGCCATGAATTAGAATATTGTAGACACGAGTTAACTTTCTTATACTCGTGGCCTACAGTAATGCATGACCTCAAAATGATAAAATTCTGTGGCTTCAGTATAGGAAATTGTGGCCTCAGAATAGTAAATTGTGGCCTCAATATAGTAATGTTTGGCCTCAGTATAGTAAAATGTGGCCTCAATTGTGGCCTTAAAATAGTAATTTGTGGCCTCAATATGGTAATTCATAGCCTCAATATCATATATTGTGGCCTCAATATAGTAATTTTTGGCCTCAGTATAGTAAATCGTGGCCTCAATATATCGAACTGTGGCCATAATATAGTAATTTGTGGCCTCGATATAGTCATTCATAGCCTCAATATCATAAATTGTGGCGTCAATATAGTAATTTTTGGCCTCAGTATAGTAAATTGTGGCCTCAATATACAGAATTGTGGCATTAATATAGTAATTTGTGGCCTCAATATAGTAATTCATATCCTCAATATCTTAAATTTCAGCCTCAGTTTACCCAATTGTGGCCTCAAAATAGTAAATTGTATCCTCAATATAGTAAACTGTGGCCTCAATATAGTAAATTGTCGCCTTGATATACCATATTGTGGCATTAATATAGTAATTTTTGGACTCAGTATAGTAAATTGTGGCCTCAATATAGTGATTTGTGGCCTCGGGATAGTAAATTGTGGCCTACGTATAGTAGTTAATGACCTTAATATAGTAATTTGTAGCCTCAATATAGTAATTTGTGGCCACGCCTTATTAAAAATGGTCACCATGTCACTTTAGGGGGCTCCCTACCATGTCTCAATTATGAGCAAGGTTATTTTTTTAATGAACCCCACCTTTCTGAGTTAGAAGAGTGTCAATAAAAACTAATTCATGAAGACCAGGTTGTATTGGAAACGGTTGGATTTTAGTTATTCAGCAGGGAGACAAAACACTAGCAGGCTAGGATTCAGTTTAGCTGCTTTTTTTAAAAATAGATACTTTCTGGGAACACTGGGATGAGGGTGTTCAGACATCCCTCTCTAACTCTCACATGTGCTCTTCTTTTCATTGTCTCTGCTAAAATCACAGTGACTGGAAACAATAAAATGCGAAATGAATAAAAATGTCTTTTAAAAAAGTTTTTTAATACAGTAGAATAATGTGATTGTGTGGTGAGATTATTTTGCTAAAATAACATTATTATTGTAGAACTATAGCTGTGTTTTGTCTTGTTTATTTTGTGGGCGGAGAGAGAAGTATGAAACAAAAGCACAGTGTAATATGTCTTTAATAGGAACATGGAATAATTGCAACATTTGATTATGAAATGAATAATAAGAATGTCAGTTAAATTTGTGCACACTGATTTTATGATGAGGTGAGAGCCATTGACTTGTATTCTTGCTTTTTTTTCTTTTTTTCTTTGTGCTTTGTTTTAGAAATACTATGTACGATTTCAGTTTATTATTGTATATTATCAGTTTTGAATGAAATGCTAATCAAACAATTCAATCTGTCGCACATTACCAGTCTGCCAGCACTCAGCACAAGGTGATTCCACACCAACTCACCTGGGCCTGTCTAGTCACGTCATGGATTTCCATGAACATATTCAAGCAAAAACTTCAGTTTAAATCATACAACCATGCAAAATTTAACTGCTTTCATGAATTGTTAACTGGGTGGATGGATTTTTGCCTACAGAAATTAAAGCCATTTTTAACCCTCTGACTGTCTGTTGTGGTTGTCAGATGTCCATGGACTGTAGAGCTGCAGGTGGAAGAGGGCAGCATTGTCTTACAAATCAGTCCTATCTCTGAGATTTCACAGAGTGCTTCTTAGTTCCTGAGGAACAGGCCTCGTTCTTCTGGTGTTGTGTTCTTTAGATCGGGGCGTCAAACTCAACCACTAAAAGGGCCTGACTTGGCCCACAGGCCCTGTGTTTGACACGTGGGCTTTAGATTCTCTTTAAAGTGTGTGCAATGAGTTCTTTACATTTTGCTCTATAACCATCTTCAGTAAGCTATGAACAGCTGTAAATCTGTTTGAATGTCCTATTTTATTCTGACTAAAGTACCACCCCATTTCCCAAAAAGTTGAAACACTGTGAAAAATGTAAATAAGAACAAAATGCAATGATGTGCAAATCATTTAAACCCTACATTTCATTTAAAAATGCTTCAAAGACGACATATCAAATGTTGAAACTGAGAAATTTTATTGTTTTTTGAAAAATATTTGCCCATTTGAATTTGATGCCGGTAACACATTCCAAAAAAGTTGGGATGGGGGCAACAAAAGACTGGTACAGTTGTGTAATGCTTAAAAAACAACTGGCGGTTAATTGGCAACAGGTCAGTAACATGATTGGGTTTAAAATGAGCATCCCAGAGAGTCTTTCAGAAGTTAAGATGAGGAGGGGTTCACTCTGTAAAAGACTGCACAATAACACTTTGCTTTTCATCATCTACAGAACATAATAACATTAAAAGATTCAGAGAATCTGGAAAAATCTCTGTATACAAGAGACAAGGCCAAAAAACAATATTTGCTGGCTGTTATCTTTAGGTCCTTAGACAACACTCCATTGAAAACAGAGATGATTCTGTAGAGGAAATCACTGCATGGACTCAGAAACACTTCTGAAAACCACTGTCTGTGAAAACAGTTCATCACTGCATCCATAAATGCAAGTTAAAAGTCTAAAACGCAAAGAAGAAACTACAAATAAACAGGATCCAGAAATGCTGCCACCTTCTCTGGGCCCGAGCCCATTTAAAATGTACTGAGCGAAAGTGGAAAAGTGCCCTGTGGTCTGACGAATCAACATTTGAAATTCTTTTTGGAAATCATGGACAGTGTGTCCTCTAGGCTAAAGACCATTCAGCTTGATATCAGTGCACAGTTCAAAAGCCAGTATTCATGATGGTATAGGGGTGCATTAGTGTACATGGCCCGAAATGTTGAGCAGCTGAAATCCTAGATCAAGCAAGAATGGAAAACATTTCACTTTAAGAACTACAGCAGTGTCTCCTCAGTTCCCAAATGCTTACAGAGTGTTGTTAAAAGAAGAAGTGATGAAACATGGTGGTAAACAGGCTCCCATCCCAACTTTTTTGGAATGTGTTGTTGGCATCAGATTCAAATGGGTATATATTTTTCAAATAACAATACAATTTCTCAGTTTCAACATTTGATATGTTGTCTTTGTACTATTTTCAAATAAATATAGGGTTTAAATGATTTACACATTGCATTTTGCACAGCGTCCCAACTTTTTTGGAAATGGGGTTGTAAAAGAAGAAAGGATTATTTATTTATTTATTTAGTCTTTACCTAAAGCTCTCCCCAATTTAGCCATTTCCAACTCTTGCTATTTCGGTCTATCACACAATGCTACTAAGCTAGGAGGGTAAGGGCTAGCATGTCCTTTCTCCTGTTCGCTCAAAGCACCACCACTTTTTTAAACTTTTCAAACAAAATCTTCTTTGCCATTGCAACGTGCTTGGATGAGAACACTAACTGCTCATTCTGTTATGTCAGCTAACAGATGTTAGAGTTGGCTGGGTGATGGAGAGAGAAGGACTGAATTAAAAATAAATTATTTAAATGATTAATAAAAAAAATGAATCATTTAAACTAAAATAATAATAAAAATTACAGGTTTTAAAACAATGAAAACTAGATCAACACTATAATGTTTGCTGCAAATCTAACTAAAATGAAACAGAATTATTGAGAAGAACACTTCAGTTTTCTTTTAATTTGGGAATTTTCTGTTCCTTTGCAAATGTTTTGTGTTCTCTCACATTAATTTTGTGTTCCCTCACAATGATTGTGCATTCCTTGCAATGATTTTGCAATACCTCACGATGATTTCGACTTCCCTCGCAATGATTTTGCGCCCCCTTGCCATGGTTTCGCCTTCCCTCGTAATGGTTTCGCCTTCCCTCGCAATGGTTTCGTCTTCCCTCGCAATGATTTCACTGTATCTCACAATGATTTCACTGTATCTCACAATGATTTCACTGTATGTCGCAATGATTTCACTGTATGTCGCAATGATTTTGCCTTACCTTGCAATGATTTCACTGTATCTCACAATGGTTTTGCTCTCCCTTGCAATGTTTTCACCTTCCCTCACAATGATTTCACCTCCCCCTGCAATGATTTTACCTTTCTTCATAATCATTCTGCATTCCCTCCTAATGATTTCGCTTACTTCGCAATGATTTTGCGTTCCCTCACAATGATTTTGCATTCCCTTACAAATGCATTGGATTTTGTGAGAGTATGCAAACATTTTGCAAGGAAACTTACAACTATTGCAAGGGAACACAAAAAGTTTATGAGGGAATGCAAAAAATAGCAAAAGAATGCAATGTTGTTGTTGCAACGGCACTTAAAGGGATCAGTATGAATGAGAGTTTAGAACGGGAGCTCTTCTATGTTTGGCCACCTTCATTTTAAATTTATTCTACTCTAACCAAATACCTATTATCACAGCAGCATTCATTGTAATGCTGAAAACTAAAACTGAAACTAAATAAAAACTAAACTTTCAATGCATCTTTAAAACGTACTGAAGTGTTTGATACCAAATTGAACTCTAAAACCAAAATGAAAAACTAACTGAAAATGAAAAACTAATGAAGATTTCAGACCTATAAAAGCCCTGCTGCCTGCGTGCTAGCCCCTGGAAATCATGCTCCCATGTGGAGCACATTTC